CCCCAAAACCCCAAAACCCCAAAACCCCAAAACCCCTTCAAGTTGTAGCCAAGTTGAAAATAAAATGTGGAGTTTTTGTGATAGAAAATAAAGCAAGCGAAATTTTGGAGCCCAACCAAGGGATATGGTGAAGAATAGAAAATTGAGTTGATAATAGTAGGAATAAAGGGTGGAAGATTTAGATTTTTTGAATTTTTAGCTCGTAAAAATATAATTCTGAGGAATTTGGGTTATTAGTCCATCATACAAATACTATTGATGGCATAGCTAGTATTAGTGTCTTTTAGCAAATTCTGAGTTCAGTGTCATCTAAGCCTGTGCACATCATGACTTCCACTTTCTCCAATTGGGGAATATTGGCAAAAGTAGAATTGAGGCAATTCAAAAATTGTGTCTTCTCCTCTGGGGAAGCATTAGTTAGTCCATCTTCAGATTTCAAAGTGTTTGTGTTACATTCAAAGACCTTGATTTTTAACTGTGGATGGACTACTGGAGGTGTCGAGTCTTCCACAGGAGTGCATCAAATGTTGCAATTATAGAACTTAAGGATTTCAAATTCACCTTCAGTCTCTAAGATCTCAAGTATCTGGTTGAGTGAAATGGTTGCTCCAGAAATTGTAAATTTGTTCTCTATCAATGGAGTAAAGATACTCAGCAGTTTCATATTGATACGTTCAAAGGCCTGATATCCTTCCTTGTCAAACTTTCTGAAGTTAATAGAAGCATAAGTGAAGTTTTCTTCAAGCTCGTAATCTTCGAGATGGTGGTCCTTGATTACCCAACAGTTCCAGAGGGTTACTTCAGTGTTACACTCATCATTTAGTTTGATTGCATTTAATACAGTGCTTGCTCCTCCTTGGATTTCTATAAAATTAGTCAACCAAATGATCAGAGTTGGGTAATGGCATAATTAGGATTGCTTACTGTTTCAATCGATATCTTTCCACGTTAGTAGAATCGTCTTTTGATCATATTGATCCATCCTTGTATCATATCTATCGATTATTTCTTGATCAAGTTTGATGAGCTATATTTATCAAAGTCAGATTTTGTCCAACTAGACTTTTCTCCATAAATTTCAGAAAAAACCCATATGGGATTAGCAGACAAAGTCGCCTATTTTGCCTATCATGCGACTAAATTATGCTGATATTACAGAAAATTCTTTAAAACTATCAATTAATTCCAAAATTTAATTGAAATCTTCATCAAATTCCAAATATGTAATTCAAAAATTATCCATTCATTGATAGTGTACAGAAATTCCAAAAAATTTCTTCGTTAAAAATTATGTTTCAAAAGAGCGTGAGCAGTCAAGAACATAGCTAAAGTTTTGGGCTCTCTTTGTTCTTACTTTAGCGATATTGTATAAATATCTGTAATTATTGACGACTTTACAGATGAGGGACTGCATTTGGCCTATGGATGATCCTCAATGCCTTACCTTCTCCTTCTTTGCCACCTTTCATGACACCAATTTCCTTCTTGAAGTAAGCATCACTATAGCTTTGTTAGACTGGATTCGGGGGAAGGCACAGAATGGGAAAGTTGGGAATAGGAATTTAGAGAAGCTGAACTTTGTTTATAAATTTTTGACATTTAAGCATAGAGAGTCCTTAGTATTGAGTAAGCAATAAGATTGATGTTCTGTAGGTTAAAATGAGGGCCAGCTCCAGTTTAAGGCTTTTAATTTGTATTAGAATGTTTATTGGGTTTGAAGAAACAAAAAGTTAAGTACCTATTAACCATTAAATCGTAATATTTAGCAATTTGTTCAATGACCACATGGAGATTGCAGCAAGGATGGCCATCTGGGCGAAGCAAGGTTTCTGGAAAAGACTTTGCTTCCTCTAATTCTTCCATTGCATGATGAAATTCTTCTCTGAGAGCTTTAACAATATCTATACAAATTTAGTGAGACCAAGAGCAATAGAAGATCTAATGCAATTCTGATAGACTCAAAGCTAGATTTTAGGTGAAGAATCTGCTTAAGGACTTACCTTGGATTTCTTCCTTAGTATACTCGCTCTTGATATCGTCTAAACCATCAAATCATTACACTTTACCGTCAATGCTCATGGCATAATCAGAGACTTTATTTTTAGCCTCTTCCTCAATGATGGTATTTTTGACATCCGATTTAAGGGTGAAGTTCTCAGAAGTAGATTTCACTTTTGAGTCTGTAGTGACACTTCCTAGGTCACTCATCTTATTAGAGATAGATAGCTGGTCTGAATTGTCATCTGAGAACTCAAGCGTAGAGTGTGTGTTTTCTAAAGAAATTAGCACCCTCTGTGACTCAAGATGACATGAAGGTTTAAGACTTACCAGCTTCGAGGGTTTCCTCCTTAGTAACCATATTTTTCTCCAGCTCGTCTTTCAAAATACTGTCCTGAGCAGAGGATTCCCCACTGATGTTGAAGCTTGATTCTGAAGCTTCGCCTTCCTTTGCTTGAAATCTTTCAGGTGAAGGAGAGTCTACCTTCTGGGTTTTATCAGATCTACAGGAATTAGGTGATATTCATGCATAAATTTGAACCAAAAGATACCGTAAGTAGATGGGTCTTTGTAAAAGGGCAAATACAAAAATTTCGCATTTAATGAGACCATATAAATCCAGAAGAGTCTTGATATACAGGTTTTAAAAGAATTTTTATTTTCCGTGACTATTGCTTTGTTAAATATTGGGTCAAAAATTTCAGCCTAATCGTTAAGCCATAGATATTTAATCGATATCCATGAATAATTAGATGCTATCTGAAGTAGAAATGATAGAAAATACTACTGATAATTACACTCTTAAACCTATCAGATAATCAATAGAATGTTCTCCCTAGTTTTGGTCAATTTTAAGATTTATGAGATATTTTTGCTTAAACAATTAAACAGCTGCAAGCGCTACAATAAAGTATTCTCAGGATATAAATACAGACTGAAATAAGGAAATTGCTTACTGTATAACTTCTTCTAAGTCGTGACTATTGACAAGGTCTTCTTCCTTAACAATGAGGCTATTTTTGGCATCGCCTTCTGTGTTAGGGTCGTTAGTACCAGTATTGGACTCTGTGTGGAGAGAGAAGGAGCTCTCTGATTGACCCGACTCATTCGAGCTATCAACTTCGCTGAAGCTTAGCCCTTCTTTTGAGGAGTTATCCTTCCTCTGGTCTGTAGGGTCTGTTGAATTGGTATCTTCCATAATGTTTTAAACTAGTTATAAAAATTATAACCTCTGACTTATGTGGGGTTTTGGGGTTTTGGGGTTTTGGGGTTTTGGGG